AAAAAAAAAAAAAAAAAAAGTCTGTACATATTCAGTACACATGCAGCCATCCATTTATTCCCCAAGTATTTTTGATCCACACTGGTTGAGTACATGGATGTGGAGCCCGCAGATGCAGAGGGTCAACTGTACCTACTGAGTGCCATGTCCTTTTACATGTTTTCTCATTTTGACCATGTGGCATTATTATAGGAACATGAAAGCTAAGGCTCAAAAATGCCTCATAAATGCCCAAGGTCACTTGTATGTATGATGACGCTAAGATGTAAATTTGCTAAATCGGCCTCGTGAGCTTCCAAAGGCCTAACCAATTCCATTTGAACGTGGTACTTCTCTCCTGGGTGGGGGGACTCAGCAGGCAAAGAAGGCATCATTCATTTAAAGAAATATGTATCTCATTCTGCTGCTGTTTATCACGGACCTCAGGTGATTTGTCTAACATTCACATACCTGCCTGGCTCTGGTAGGTGTTTGACCCCTGAACTCTCATTCTCTCCATTTTGGAAGCAGGAGGCGAAGGAGCCTAGAGTTGGGCATGGTTACTGAGGAGTAACTATGTACTTTGCACAGCAAAGCCAGCCTGGAGCTCACTCCAGGGCTGCTCTTCACTAGCTTCCGAATCCAGGGTTGGATACCAAGGGCTCAGTGAGGCTACTCCTTACTCTCTTGCTCCAAGTGACTGGCTGACTAGTGTGATTCCAATCTACCTTGGTAGATTAAATCCCTATAGATCCAGTTTCCAAACTTGCTTCATTTAAGGGGAGTGGTCCAATTTCTCAACAATTTCTAAGCATCTAATGGGAGAATTGTCTTCCCCTCTTTCCCAGACAAGTAAGGAAATCCAAAAAAAATACAGTATCTCCTTTCAAAGAGAAACAAAAGCAAAAAGAGGTTAAAACACACACACACACTCACACACACACACACACACCCCTATAAAGCTTAGAGCAAAGAATCCAGAGCTGAAAATCTTAAGAGTAATTTGGACTCTCCTAGTCTTCATTAGGTGCTGCTCATTCATCCTCAAGTACACAGGACCTGCAAACCCTTACTCTCACATCTTCAGAGACCAATAATTCCAGATGCTCTCCTTCCTCCAGGCTAATCCTTCAAAAATAGTGGCAGCAGAATGAGCAGGAAAGGGGCAGGGAGCACAGCAGGGACATAGAGGAAGAAAAGGGAAAAGATACTCCTGTCCTCTTTCCCTTCTTTAAATACTAGAGCCTCTCATCTTCTTGAACTTCCTATAGTTCCCCTGAAACACAAGGGGAATAACTCTTCATTTTACTTATTCTGGAACTCAAATTCTCAGGGCAACAGAAAATGGGTATATTTTTGCATAATTTAATGTCGCATTAAGAGGAATGCAATGAGAGGGAGTTGTTTACTCATGAAGCAAATGGCCCCAGAACTAAAAGTGTTAACTTCTTATTGCTTTGGAAATCTGATTTTTACACCTTGACACACTTAAAGAAAAACAGGTGAGGACTGAGGATAAGGATAATATAATCCTGCTAGGGCTTCTTACTCCTGAAATATCTTCACCTGCCCTGACCTGTCACACTCTCACTCTCCCCACTGACACTTGTTTTGTTTCCATTGTAGTGAAGTGTTCCCAATGAAAGAGAAAATTAAGCTAACAGTGATGGCCAGTGAGTTTTTGGAGTAAGGTAGACACACTTTTCTCCACACGAAAGAACAGTATCTAGTACAAACTTAGGGCTCTTTATTCAGGCAGTAAAGTAAGGAACAGCAAAGTGGGAGGGCTACACCATCACCATGGCAACAGAAAGCCTCAAAAACATAAAGTCCCTCGACTTCTGTCGGGTAGACTCTTTCTAGCTCAGGAGAAACACATTTTAACTGGCTGAGAACAAGGCCAGGCAGCCTGGCCACACTGTGGAAGGACGGCTGGGTGTGCGGCCTCTGGTCAGTCCTGGAAGTGCTTGGTGAGGGCTTCCAGCAGCTCCTGCTTCTTCAGCCCACTCTTCAGCCCATATGCCCGGCAAGCCTCTTTCAGCATGGGCACAGTGAACTTGCCCAGTGTGCCCTTGCTGATGTGGGTCTTCAGCTCTTCTTCTGAATACTCCACCTTGGGCCTTTTGCTTCCGGAACCTTCATTATCTGGGGGAAAGGTCAGAGGGAGTGACTGGAAATGCTACAAGTGGCATCCAAGCTACATGGAATGGGACCATCATATAATCTGGGCTGCAATTAACCATTTTCCATAAAGCCGTGATGCCAGCCTAGAACATGTATCACACCTAGGAGGGAGTTATGAGTAGTGTGAATGCCATCAGTTTACAGGGTACATGAGGTATTCTGATACAGGCATGCAATGTAAAATAATCACATCAGCGTAAAAGTGAGGTATCTGTCCCCTCAAGCATTTATCTTTTGTGCTACAAACATTCCAAATTACATTCCTTTAGTTATTTTAAAATGTACAATTAAATTATTATTGACTATAGTCTGTTATCAAACAGATCTTATTCAATATTTTTGTACCCATTAACCATGTCCACCTCCCCTCAATGCTCCACTATGCTTCTCAGCCTCTGGTAACCATCCTTCTACGCTCTATCTCCATGAGTTCAATTGTTCCCATTTTTAGATTCCACAAGTAAGTGAGAACATGCAAATGTCTGTCTTTCTGAGCCTGGTTTACTTAAGTATTATTGCAAACGACAGGATCGCATTCTTTTTTACGGCTGAATACTCCGTTGTGTATGTGTACCCCATTTTCTTTATCTAGTCATCTGCTGATGGACACAGGTTGCTTCCAAATCTTTGGCTATTGTGAATGGTGCTGTAATAAACATGGGAGTGCACAAATATCTTCGATACATTGATTTCCTTTCTTCTGGGTGTATACCCAGCAGCAGGGTTGCTGGATCATATATATGGTAGCTCTACTTTCACATTTCGAGGAAACTCCAAACTATTCCCCTTAATAGTGGCTGTACTAATTTACATTCCCACCAACAGTGCATGAGGGTTCCCTTTTCTCCACATCCTCGCCAGCATTTGTTATTGCCTGTCTTTTGGATAAAAGCCATTCTCACTGGAGTGTGAATAGGTATTTCTGAAAGAATACTGCCCACTGTGATAATACCATCATAAAAGCAACTGTTAAAAATAGCCCACATATCCACATTCAGCTCCTCACCGTGTTTTCTCTTGGTAACCTTCCCTTCAGGATTGTAATCTGGTGGGTAAACCAGCTCCTTAAATTCATCCACCAGGGAACCCAGTCTTTTATTCATTGCTTCAACCTTGGGCACTAGAAAATCAAAACACAGAAGAGCGGCCTAGTGAGTCACGAGCCCCAGCTTGCCATCTAGTTCCAACTTTCTGAGAACCAGAAGAGAAAGCACCTAACTGCTGGGAAAGGTCCAGGGAAAGGTCTTTACAGCATTTATCAAGTACCTTCCAACACACACATTTATTGTAATCACACACACTACCACCAGGGACTGTTGTAAACGCTTCAAATTTACTCTCTTTACTCCTTCTAACAACCTATAGGATAGGTACATTTGTCCCCAGTTTTTTTTTTTTTTTTTTTAACACGGAGTCTTGCTCTGTTGCCAGGCTAGAGTGCGGTGGTGTGATCTCAGCTCACTGCAACCCCCCGACTCCCTGGTTCAAACGATTCTCCTGCCTCAGCCTCCTGATTTGTCCCCAGTTTTACAGGTGAGGAAAGGAGAGAGGTTACATGACTTGCCTGAAGGGGAGTGGTACAGTGGAAATACTAAGCTAGATTCTGGGAATTCAAACAAGAGCTCATGCCTGCAGTCAGCTTAAAGCCTAGTGAGAGTGAAGAGGCAGATAAAAACGATGCAGTAGAGTTGGGCAACAACATGCAAGAAGCAACTGTACAGGCACACTGGAACACAGGAGGGGTCATGAAAGATAAGCAGGAGAAAACAGCAGGTGACATATAGCTGGAAGGTAGAGTGTTAAGGAGGACAGGGCCAGCAGGGAGGTGAGACAGGTGGGCATGGCGAGGTCGTGGAAGCTTGGATGCCAGCCAAGGAATTAGGCCTTATTCAAAGAACCACGATAGCTGCATGGAGTGTGAACTCCATGGGTAAGAGAGATGGGTGAAGTGGGGCACAGGTGGGAGGACCTATAAATATGAGAAGTGACAGAACTGGCAGGACTTACTGATAGAATAGCATTTATTATTTACTGAAATTATAGGGCTAGATACCAGAAAGAAAGAATAATAGGAGCGGGGATGGGGAGATGACTGGCTGAAACAGGAAGAGCAAATATGACAGGAAAAGGCAACTTTGGAGGAAAGATATTTTTGTTTCCTTTTTTTGTTAGCTTACAACTGTATTGTTAGTCAAGCTTTTGACATGAGCTGTGTCACATCAAAAGCAAGGGTGATGAGATGGGCAGCTAACATGCCCATATATGCCAATCACAGAGGGGAGCTCTTGCTGGTGTACCTAGAAGATGGCAGAATGCTGGAGCCAAACTGTGCTCCTGCTACGTAAGAAACCCCTGTTCCACAACACAGGAACCTCAGCAAGAGCACTGGCTCCCATCTTGGGAATCAACTGCTGAGTTTTTTTTCTTTTTGAGATGGAGTCTCGCTCTGTTGCTCAGGCTGGAGTGCAGTGGCATGATCTCAGCTCAGTGCAACCTCTGCCTCCCAGGATCAAGGGATTCTCCTGCCTCAGGCTCCAAGTAGCTGGGATTACAGGCACACGCCACCACACCCAGCTAATTTTTGTATTTTTAGTAGAGACAGGGTTTCACCATGTTGGTCAGGCTGGTCTCAAACTCCTGCCCTCGTGATCTGCCCACCTCAGCCTCCCAAAGTGTGGGATTACAGACATAAGCCACCACATCCGGCCCTCACCTGGAGAGTTTTGAAAGTACTAAGAAGCTGGACGCGGTGGCTCATGCCTGTAATCCCAGCACTTTGGAAAGCCATTGTGGGTGGATCACTTCAGGTCAGGAGCTTGAGACTAGCCTGGCCAACATGGTGAAGCCCCATCTCTATTAAAAATACAAAAATTAACGGCCAGGCGCGGTGGCTCAAGCCTGTAATCCCAGCACTTTGGGAGGCCGAGGCGGGTGGATCACGAGGTCAAGAGATCGAGACCATCCTGGTCAACATGGTGAAACCCCGTCTCT